CGAAAAATATTTTGGCATTCGTTACAGGGAAATTTTTTGAACAGTCGAGTCACTTCTTTATCTTCAAATTACGTAATCGATATTCTACGATGCAGCGTTGTTTACAATGGCCGAAATTTTTCGCGCTTTTTTCCCTTTTCCACTACAGCCCTCTGTACTCGCGTGACAAACGTAACGTGGTCGGCCATATTTACTCGGCATCCGAACGAAATTCTGGCAGCTAGGCAAGGATGCTCGATAGAACCATCTACGATAAGAATTTTGTTTACGAGGTAACACACTCCCTATTAACGGGTTATAATTCCTAAGATAATCGTAGTCACAAAAATATCGTTGCGTAACGATATTTTCTCGTCATGTTACGATCCGCTTAAATCGCGTTTAGCTTTGATGCACGGTCACGTGACATTCGATTTTTCATCGTGTACACGACACAACTACTATAAATAACTTAACACGATTACGACGTGAATTGATATTTTTTTTTATTTCTATAATCGACCAAATTAAATGATCACTAAAAATTTATCGTGTGACATTAAATTTAACGTTCGTCGCACGTTCGATATCTTTTCTTTCAAATTTAACGATCTTCGTTATCAATATGCACACTCGTTTATAATAATTGCATTGCATAATTGATTAATTAATTGAATCTTGTTTACCAATATTCGTTTATCGTAAAAATCATGGCCTCGATTGTTCGATTAATTGTTTGTAGCATGTTTACGAGATGTACGAAATATTGTTCGTACGTCAAATTCAACACAAACGATCAAATTTCGTTCCTCGAATTGCACGAGCACGTTCTTATTTGCGTTCAATTGCTTCCGACTATCGAATGTCACGGCGAAGAGCACACAATGAATTTTTTATGCATATGCGGTAAAGAATATTCTTTCGCGTATGCAAAAAATATGTCGGCATAGAATAGAAAAGACAAACATTGATACACATGATAAACGCGTGCGCGGAGCAAGTGTTGCAAAATTAGACTTGAATATTTTCTTATGTATGCACGCGTCAAATATATTCTCGTTAAAACAAATTCGAATAAAGAAGGAAGGTAATGAAACGAATAAAATAATTGCAGAATTAAATTTTAGAATTTAAAAGAATGTATAATAAATTTTATATGTATTTGTAAATATTCCTATAAAATTTCGATCGATTAATCCAGTTTTCTATTTTTCGAATTTATTTTCGTCGTATTAAAAAAAAACAATTCCTATGAAAAAAACTTTTTTTATATCATGAAAAATATATTTGTATAATATCTGTAAATATTAATATTTATATAGATTAAAACTAAATTAAAAGTATCTATAAAAAGTTTGATTGTTTACTCGAAATAACAATAAATAAATAATTATCTTCGAAGCAAATTAATTATTCTAACCTAAATATTTAATCGCGAAGCTATCATCGAAGCACCTTCAGTCGGAAAAATCAACGTCTAGACATCAGGAAACATAATAACATTCTCTTCGACACACTTTGACCGACACGCAATTCGAACGAGTATGGGACATGATTGCTTGTTGCGCGCAATTATCGTGGAAATCGTTCAAATCGCAGGTTGAGGAACGTGCTCGAACTTTTCACGCGCCAATACTTACATGTCTCATAAATATTACGTACATTCCTGGCCGCGAAATGGATCCGTGTCGATCGTCCTCGATGTTGACGATGATGATGACACGTCGATAACACAATCACTACCGGAGCACCACTGCCGTATGTCCCGCATTACTCGGCATGCCGATAGTCCGAAATCACTGCGTAAATAACAAAAATAGACATAAAGTAAACTATGAAGGGAAATAATTTTTACACATACACACGCGTAAATATATATGTATATAAATACATGTAGAAAAGAAGCTGGAACGATGTATAGTGTATCGCGACCGATTACAAAACACGCGACCACACGCTAATTCTCTTTTTCTACGTCGTTTCTTAGCCGGAACTTTTTCAAGGTTTCGTCGGTACGAGATTTCACAAGAGACAAGTTATTTACTCGATAGACCACGAAATACCGTCCTTTTCCTTCCGACACTTCGCTTCACCGATTACCGTTTAGGATAAAACAGCGTGAATACGTGTGCGTGTACACGTGCGCGCGCGCGCACTCCTTCGACAGACGCGATGATTCGTAGTTGCTTCTAATGCGTAGTTAGCGTCGCGAACCCGGTAAAATAAAGTAAAACGTAAAGAGGAAGGAAAGACAAAGAACCACTCCTCGAAGGTTAAAGCGATGAGACGCCATCATCGTAGCAGCCTCTGCGCGGTCCACGCGCCGCTTGTTTACTTTATCCCACCTTCGAACAGGTTGTTGATACGCACCTCGCGATAGTATCACGTTTATGAACGAAGAGAGATCATAATTGACGGTATCGATCTACCATAACTGTGGTATATTATTTTTTTTTCATCGATTCGAAAAATCGTTTTTCGTACGATTAATTTAAATCGTAGAAGTGTGAATTCACGACAACTAAGAACAAAACTTCACGAATCGGACAAGTATATCAGATACCATACAAGGCGACCATGTTATCGTCACTGGCGCACCTCGGATTGCTTTTTTGAACCCGACACCGTAAACTACGCGGTATTCACGCGCGACGCGTTCGACAACGCGCGTATATGCTACACGCGACACAACAAACGCGACTCAACACGTTCGATCGTGCGAGAACACGTAATTCACTTGCAGTGTTAGGAAAACTCGTAGCACAGTAGGGGAATGGTGGAAGGGAGGGGATAGAGAAAGGGTGGTCACGAGTGCGAAATTCCATGTCCCGAAATTCTTGAATTATTACTGAATTTTCCGTACGGTGCAATATATATACGCGATCGTTGGTTAAACTCGAGAAACAAAGAAAAACACAACGAAAACGAGAGACACGTGCCACGAACAAAAGACAAGAAAACGCATATATGGAGTTTTTAGAAAAGAGCGAAACAAATGGAGAAACCAGTCAGAAACATTAATTGCGACGCACGCTGTGAGACCGTTTTCTTCCCCGTCGCCATTATCGAATGATAAGAAAAAGAAGGGATGCTTTCGTCAGGGTGGAAGGGGGGTTAGAGAAAGAAGGGAGGACGAAGCGTACGGTTAGGTTAGAGACAAAGAAAGAGATATAGTTTGATGAGAGTGAGTGAGTGAGTGAGTGAGTGAGTGAGTGAGTGAGTGAGTGAGTGAGTGAGTGAGTGAG